GGTCGCAAAAGTTCCAGCCGCTCCCCGTTATGGTAAATACCATTTAAGTTAAACAAGCAGAAATGAAGCAGTTTCGGCGCGGTCGAGGTGTTCAAAACATATAAGGCTTCCATTTTCGTCTTCAAGAAATTAATTAAGGTGGGGTAAACTGACTGGACGGTACCAAAGGTAGTTGATATATATGGTGACTAGGGGGACTACCATGCATGTATTGGACCAACGAGGGTTGGATCAAGTGATAAGCGGTTTGTTCCAGCTTAAACAACTTAAACAAGATCTCGAGTTTAAGACTTTATGTACGCAACAATTTTTGTTGGAAGACTCACTCACTATTTTTAGGTGCGCAACACGGGTCGATTCGGATTATTCGGGACAAAACGATACCGGCGGGAAAAAAAAAAAAACCATGCATGTATTGGATTAGAGGATTTGGTATGCATCAATTTTGTCAAATTTAAACCCCACGTGGTTCGGCATTGTTTTTCTTATTTATTTATTCTAACTATAGTAAAATTCACGTGATTTTAGACTTTTATTATTTATAATGATTTATGCACATGTCCTTGCGGTTTAGTGGCAATAGCCATTCCAGTGCATCCCCCATCTCCTGGGCTGGATTTAAAACTCGCCCCTTGCAAATATGTTCAAAAAAAAAATATTTATAATGATTTATGAATACGCCCATGTACATAATATGTGAATTTAAATACATATTTTAATATGTATTATAAGACAGAGATAAACAAATAATTAATATCTAATAAAGTAAAAGAGTAAGAATATTTAACATAAAATTAATTATTATAGGTAAAGGAGTTCATATTATATATTTAACAATATATACTTGAGTTTAGTCGTCCTTGTGAAATATATATGACGTGATTAATTCAGAATGCTTCTATTAATGTACTAAATCATATCATTTTGTGCATAACCCTCTTCGGGGACTCTTTCTTGCTTCTTAATCACAAGAGTTACATACATCCTTAGAGGTCACTAATGAGCCGATGTTTGACTTGCCAATTTTTATACCATTTTAGTATGTAGGTAGCTATGCAAGCTCCCCCTTTATTAATCTTGCTTTTAAGTAAAAATAAAATAAAGGAATGGCGACACTGATCTTCATCGACATCAATAGCTTGTATACACAATAATTAATTAAGCATCATTATCCTCAATTCAAACTGAAAATATAAATTAATACTCGATCAATTTATGTCATCAAGGGTGAATTGCTTTGGAGATTAAGACCCATAAAACTCTCGTTACCAGTTATTTGGAGGGAAAATGATCCATTTATATAATACTTGAAATTAAGTGTGTGTATGTGTACAATATGAGCACATATATTTAACTAGTATATAGTTGACTCTTTCATTTGATAAAAAAATGCATGGTAAGTATTATTGCTAGGGGTCTTAGGAAGTGTTTTAACTAATAAAAATCTGAGCCTCTAAACAAAAAATTTTTAAATTCAAATCTTGATGAGATGGAATGATGCGATGAGAGGTAAAGAGAAATTTGAGAAAACAAAGAGCAATTAATATTATTGTTGTTGTAGATCACATGCTAAGGAAAATTTTGCCGACCCAAAAAAAAAAAAAAAATGCTAAGGAAAAATTAAAGTATAAATATTAAAGTAGAGAGAAGTCTATGGATATTTTCAAGTGGTATTTCTTATGCTTTCTAAAAATATCACATTAATATTTGTAAGGACAATGATATATACACTCTCATTCGTTACACACACTCACTTTCTGTCACTTTTTGTCACTTTCCGTTAACTCCAAACACACCCAGCCTAGCCTTTTCTTTCTCTCTCTCCTTTCCTTTCTCCTTCTTGTTGTTCACCATCCTCACCAAATCCATCATCCTAATCATCTACAACCTCATCCTAATCATCTGCAACCTCATCTTCCTCTTCTTCATCATTGTTAGTTTCATCAGCACAGAGCATGAAGCTGAGCAAGTAGGAACCTACAAAGGAACTCAGATCTGGTGTTGGGGAAGGGGAGAGAAAATGAAAGGATTTAGAGATTGAAGATAAGGATTTAAGAACCCAGTAAAAGAAAGAAATTGGAAGGGAAAATATCCAAATCTGGTGTTGATGGAGGGATAGAGAGAGAAAGAAAATGAAAGGATGAAATTGCAGGTTTCATTGGGAGCACTTGCAAATTTTGTCTACACTAACCATAACCTGCTTTACTGTTTGGTCGATTGGGTTAGGTGCGTTTGGGAGTTAATGGAAAGTAATGGAGAAAGTGTGTATAACGAAGTGTACAATGAATAAGAGTCTATATAGTATTTCCTTATTTGTAATCAATCATTGTGTTTCATTTTATAGTCATTAAACTAAAAAACATAAACTATTAAATAAAAAATAATTTTTAATATTAAAATACTTACTTTATATTTAATAATTTAAATTATATATCATATTAATTGCACAACACATTTTTGTTACCAAACCATCAAATGGGTTTAATGATGTACCACCAAATCTAAAAATTTAAGTCTAAATGATAAAAAAGTTCTATTCTCACCGCTTACTAAAAAAATTTTCTATATTCCCCATTTCCCATGATCCGAAAAAAAAATTTGTTCCCATTTATTACTTCATGGTGCTTTCAAGTCATTTCATTTTTTTTTTTTTTAAAGTACTTTCTGTCACTGCTTTTTTTGGGCAAAAGAAAAAAGGACGGAATCTAATTCTATTAACAGTCAAAAGCAACATACGCACATGCAAATTAGGTAACTAGGGGGTTAGTTATAGTCAAAATGCAAATTAGGTCATTAGGGGGTTAGTTATAGTCAAAGTTAATCATCATGATCATTCTCCTATCATTATACCTTATAAAGAAGGAAATGCATGTGGATTAATTAACTTTCTTACTTTTCTTTTCAAATTTTCTTTTTTGAACTAAATTCTCTCCTTTCTCACTTTAATTTAACTAGGATTTTAATTATTAATCGATCAAAAGCTAGCAAAGCCATGAAAGCGTGTTTAAATTTCAGAAGCAGGCAATCGATCGAGCAGGTTGGTTGTACTATATCATCTTCGGCTGTCTTGAAGAAAGCAGTTTAATTCTTTTTGTTTTTGTTTTTTTGTTTTTTTGTTTTTTTTAATTTCCTTTCGTCAGATCGAACCCTACCTAAGTTCAAACCATCAAATCCAGGAGGGGCAGCCCACATCAAATTAATCGATTTTAATTTCAACATGAAATTTCAGAGGTTAGATATGGTGCAATCATTCAAAAGGAAGACTCCACAAGCCGCAACAGTTCCTTAAGGATATACCGCGCCAAGACATTTCCAAAGTTT